CATTTATTCTCATTCTTCATCTTGTTGCTTCAATCCACCAAAAACCTGTAAATCCATGACAACTACTTAACCACATCAAATCACCATAACAATTAGTTCCACTGAACAATTCCAAATTTGATCTATGCAGCTAACAAAAATGATCAAAATTGAACACTCAAGACCAAAATTGCGCACACATGATGAGCCGTAAAACCAGAAGGAAGATATCGACGAAGCCGAGCAATCTGTTTATTTCTTTTTCTTCTCTAGTTTCAAACTCAACTTATTATATTTATTTTTCTAATTTTATAATTATTTTTCGAGGCTAATTTTATTTTAGCTTCTAGGATTTGTTAGTACTCGAACTGATTTATTATATAGTTTTCATTCTGATATGGGATACAAGTTCATTTCACAATTGCATTCGATTCATTTTGGTTTATCTTTCTTTTATGATTTTTTTGTGCATATTTTTATTGTGGGTAGATGACAACTATGAATAACTATTTGTGATTGATTTGAGGCCGATAAGAGATAATTGATTGCTAGAATTGATAAATTTATAATGTATAAGAATAACTAGACCTAGAGGTTGTTAGGATCTTACGAGAGTATGAAAATCCTAGGAACTTATGGAGTTAGTTGTTCATCTTGAGATCGAAGATATAGATAGAAATTAATATACGATTTATCTTGTTTGAGTGAAAGGTTAAATTAATTTAGCGATTATATCTACGATTGGTAAAATTAAATAAGGTTAAGATGAATTTAAACATTTCATAGATTAAATCTGAGAGAAAAAAAAAAAGCATAGCTTATAATCTATCTTTTTATATTTTGCTTTGTTTCTATATACTTAGTTCGTAATATATTTTTTTAGTTTATAATCGTCAGCAAAATTCATAAGTCTAGATAATATCTAATCGTCATTATTTTAGTATTTATTTTAACTACAATTCCTGCAGAATACGACCTTGCTCGCTGCTTGCTATAGCTACGTCGTGCACTCTTGGATAGAAAAAATAATTAGTGAAAAACTAATAATGTTTTTAGCAATGTAGGGAACAAGTAAAAGGTTTTTAAGGATATAAGTGTTATTTGGGCCATTGTTGAGTGACTTAATGTCAGAAAAACCAATATTAGATATGTGAAAACCTGATCCATCTCCAATTTGGTCCTTGTAATGTACATGATAAGCATAAGCAATAATTATATCTCCAAGGTCATAAGTAACACGGTTTGTTGTCTCAACATCTGGAAACCACTAAGAATGATCTAGGCTAGGGTCATTGATGTGCTGGTATTGTTGATAGAGGTAGCTGACTGGACTTGAGCCACATTCGTATGATTGTTGTAGGAAGAAGATCCATTTTAGTTGGTGTTGGTGGTGTAGTCAAGATTAGTCCTAAAGAAACATTTTTTAGTTGTATCATTGTTTTTGTGATAAATATGACATGCCATCTTCATAGTGAATCTTATTTTTCCTCTACCAAATGTGTTCTTTATTCTATTGTCTCCGCCATTGAAGTATTGACCATTTAATAAGCTTATGTTTCATTGAGAAAAATTGTTACCTTTTATTCCTTCCTGTGTTAGGACATTGACAACTGGGGAAATGATACGACCTTGCTTCAAAGTTGTATCGGTTTGACTCGAATTGCTTCAAAACGAATTGATTATGAATTTGCAGAGCAAAAACGATGAATTATTATCTTCCTTCTGAATAACAGAGAACAACTATATGTAAAGCCCTACCAACAAGGAAACAAGAAAAAAATATAAAATATGGAAATAAGGATAATATAGAATCTCTTGCAAATATTTAGTGTCGATAATCCTTAAGCCAAAAGGATTCCTTCTGATCTCGCTTGGGCCTGTTCTTAGCGGATTCCTCCTTATTAGTCTTTCAGCCCAACCCCGACAACCCAGTCGTATCATTCTCACCTTCTTCGAAAATCACCTTGTCCTCAAGGTGAAACGTTAGAAACATCACAGCAAGGTCTCGTGCAACTTCCCAGGTGGCTTCCGCTAGAGTCGAACCTTCCCACTGTACTAATACCATGACTTCAGGCTTGCGGTTCTTCACAACACTCATAGTATCTAGAACCTTAATGTGAGCAGCGGCAGGTCGCCCTTCTATTTCCCCTCTCGGTAAATTTGATATAGCAAGATCCTCGTCGCCCCGAAAAGCTTTCAATACTGAAACGTGAAACACGGGATGAATGCGAGACCCTTCCGGCAAAGCCAAACGATAAGCCACAGGTCCTATTCGCTCTTCAATAGGGAACGGCCCATAATATTTTTTTGCTAATTTGTTAAAGCTTCGACGCTCCACAGACATTTGGCGATATGGTTGGAGCTTGACAAGAACTTTATCGCCAACCTGAAATTCCACTTCTCGGCGATGAGAGTTAGCTTTTTGCTGCATTCGATTTTGGGCTCTGGTCAAATTCATTTTCAGCTCTCTAAGCAACTTATCTCTATCAAGCAATTGCTCTTCTAATGATTTAATTCTTGAGGCTCCAGCTCGATATGCTAACATTGAGAAAGGAGGTCTGCCATATAGAGCTTGATACAGCGACATAAGGAGCCCGCTATGAAAGCTGGTGTTATAGCTATATTCAGCCCAACATAAGAACCTTCCCCACTGTTTAGGACGATCAGCGACAAAAGCTCGTAAATATTGCTCAAGCCCACGATTCACTACCTCGGTTTGTCCATCCGTTTGAGGATGGTAGGAGCTACTGTGCAATAGTTGAGTTCCACTGAGTGCAAATAACTCATTCCAAAACTCACTGAGAAAAATAGGATCCCTATCGGAGACGATAGTTTTAGGGAACCCATGCAATTTGACCACCACCTCGATGAACAGCTCTGCCACTTTTGGGGCTGTAAAATTAGCAGTCAATGCTGCAAAATGAGCATATTTTGTTAGGCGATCCACCACAACAAACACTACCGATTTTCCCTCACAATTCGGTAATCCCGTTACAAAATCCATCGTGAGATCCTCCCAGACATTTTCAGGAATTTTCAAGGGTTGTATTAACCCAGCTGGTGGTTGGTTGGTGGTTTTAATCTGTTGACAGACCACACACTTAGCCACAAATTTTTCCACATCCTTTCGAAGGCCTGACCAATAGAAATTATTGGACACCCGCATGAGCGTCCTTTTAACGCCCCCATGCCCAGCCATTGGAGTCGAATGACACTCATTTAGAATTCGATAGCGAAGGCTCGATTCGGGACTGGTGTAAAATTGTCCTTTATAAAACATTACTCCATCAGGTACCTCAAATGATGAACTCAAGTCTCCTCTTTTTAATTTTTCGTGCAGCCCCAGTGACTCACGGTTTGCCGCCCTTAATTCCTCCACAAAAGAGGTAATTGGAAAAGTTGTCGACAAAAGACACAAGGCGGACTCATCCTCTGGTGCATCATCTCGTCGCGATAGAGCATCAGCAACATGATTTGCACTCCCCAATTTATACTCAATAGAAAAATCAAATCCCATCAATTTTCGCACATGATTTTGTTGTTCTGAGTGAGAAACCTCTGGTGTAGTAGTTCCTTGATACTCTTTTGATCGGTCCTAATAACAAAGGGCCTACCGATAAGATATTGTCGCCATTTTTGGACAACTTCTGTAATGGCGTAAAGCTCCTTATTATAAGTAGATGAGCTGAGTAACTGTTGTCCGATTTTTTTACTAAAGAAGGCTATTGGCCTTCCCTCCTGCATAAGAACCGCGCCTACACCCGTGCCACTTGCATCAGATTCTATCTCAAATGGGAGTTGGAAATCCGGTAGATGTAACACTGGCGCTCTAGTTAAAGCCGACTTTAACGCCTCAAAAGCCTCAAAGGCTGCATCGGTCCAATGAAATCCCTCCTTGCGAAGCAAATCCCTTAGTGGTGCGGCAATCTTGGCATATCCTTTTACGAATCTACAATAATATCCTGCGAGACCAAGAAATCCTTGTAACTGCTTAATCGCCTTTGGAGTTTGCCAAGAAGTCATTGCTGTATTTTTTGTGGATCAGGATGCAGTCCCTTCGAGTCAACAACATGTCCCAAATACTCAATTTCTTGTCGACAAAAGGAGCATTTCAAGAACTTCACTAAAAAATTGTTTTGTGCCAAACACTCCAAAATCCGTCTTAAGTGGGAAACGTGCAATTCTTTTGTCTCACTATAAATCAATATCATCAAAAAATACTACCACATATTTACGCAAGAATGGAGCCAAGGTGGAATTCATTAAGGCTTGAAATGTCGAAGGAGCGTTGGTTAGACCAAATGGCATCACAAGAAATTCATAATGCCCCTCGTGAGTTCTGAAAGCAGTTTTTGGAATGTCATCTTCATGAATCCGAATTTGATGGTACTCAGCTCGTAAATCAAGTTTCAAAAAATATTTTGCCTTCCCCAGCTCATCAAATAATTCATCAATAGTAGGGATGGGAAATTTGTCTCGTACCGTGATGGCATTCAGAGCACGATAGTCTACACAAAATCGGTATGTTCCATCCTTCTTGCGAACAAGTAGCACTGGAGAAGAAAATGGACTCTGACTCGGCTGAATAATTTTTTGTTCAAGCATTTCCTTAACAAGTCGTTCAATCTCCGCCTTTTGGAAGTGAGGATACCGATATGGTCATACGTTTACCGGCTTGCTCTGGGGAAATAAATGAATTTTGTGGTCAAATTTTCTCCTTGGGGGCAGCCCTCGTGGTTTGGAAAATACAGTGCGAAATTCCCATAGCAACAAAGAGATAGAGTCTGGAATCCCTTGTAGCGCAACCTTTGATAACTCGTCCCAAGTAGTTGATTCCGCCTCTGTTAAATGCCACCATGACAGCTCATACATCTCCTGAACCTCTTCACCTTCGACCATTTCTTGCAATTGATTGAAAGAAATCTTTCTCGATGCCAACTCCTTGTCGCCCACAAGTTTGACTCTATTTTCAGCCCACTTAAACTCCATTGACATGTGGTTATAGTCATGAACCACCTGCCCTAACTTTTGCAACCAAGGAACTCCCAATACAATTTCCGGCCCATGGATCGGCAAAATAAAAGATCAATAATAAATTCGGCCCCTTGCAGCTCAAGCTTGACCGGTGGACAAAAACTCCTGCACGACATTGAGTCCCCATTGCCAATGTAAACCCTAAATGGGGTCACCAACTCCAGCGGAAGTTGTAGCCTTTCAGCCACATCCGGGTGCATGAAGTTATGGGTGCTCCCACTGTCGATTAATACGTGAACCTGGGTATTACTAGTTCGACCCCACATCCTAAGTGAACGAGGATTGCCTGCTCCCGCCAAAGTTTGCAAACTTGATACATCTCCGGTTATGACCCCGCCTTCCCCATCACTCTCGAGGTTTTCTTCTTCCTCGTCGGGATATTCGATCATGAGTAAGAATTGTCTAGTACACTTATGACTGGCAGTCCACTTTTGATCACAATTAAAACACTCACCTCGAGCACGTTTATCGCGCATCTCGGCCGAAGTAAGTCGTTTGAATTTAGCACCTACTCGTTCTGCCTTTTGTATTTGACTTGCTAGACACTGACTTATGCTTTTCTCTCCCCCCACATTAGCACCAGCAACTTGTCCATTGGAATTTTGGCCCGGCCATCTCGTCGTGACTCGTTGCTCTAAATGGCGTGTTGTTTGTCGTGACTCGAACAACCTGGAAAGACTAAAGGCCTCATCTAAGGTAGTCGGTCGAGCAACCAACAAATCTTGTTGAATTTCATTCTTCAAACCCGCAATGAAAATGGAGATTAAAATCTGCTCAGTTACTCCTTCCACCTTGTTCATCAGAGTTTCAAATTCGGCCTGATAATCTTCAACATTACCCTTTTGCATTAATTTAGCTAATTTTCCTGTAGGGTCTTCAAATTGAGATGGCCCGAATCGCATTTTAATTTGAATCAAGAACTCCTTCCATGTGGTCAGCCGTTTATTAACCTTCATCCATTGATACCAGTCTGATGCTTTTCCTTCCATATTGAAGGATACAATTCGCATTCGTTGCTCGTCAGCAGTCTCGTGAAAGTCAAAATACTCCTGCACCCTAAATGTCCAACCATACGGATCATTGCCATCAAAACGGGGCAACTCTAATTTCATGGTGTGGTTCCTAAGCGTGGCTCCATGGTGACCTTCTGTTGCGTGGCCAGGTCCTGTTCTTATAAGAGGTTTTTCCCCCGTCTAGTGGACGATTAATTCGCTCACAATCCCTTTGAGTTCGTCGATTGATTCCGCAAACCCCTGATACTTTTGCATATGGGTAATTGTCTGCCTGTCGAATTGTTCTTGCATCTGTGATATGGCAATCTCCCATTCTTGAGCCCCTTCCGCCTTTTTAAGTTGTTCGGATATGTTGTTGCAGTCAAAGAGAGCTTCTCTCAATGAAAGCACCAATGATACGACCTTGCTTCAAAGTTGTATCGGTTTGACTCGAATTGCTTCAAAACGAATCAATTATGAATTTGCAGAGCAAAAACGATGAATTATTATCTTCCTTCTGAATAACAGAGAACAACTATATGTAAAGCCCTACCAACAAGGAAACAAGAAAAAAATATAAAATATGGAAATAATGATAATATAGAATCTCTTGCAAATATTTAGTGTCAATAATCCTTAAGCCAAAAGGATTCCTTCCGATCTCGCTTGGGCCTGTTCTTAGCGGATTCCTCCTTATTAGTCTTTCGGCCCAACCCCGACAACCCAGTCGTATCAGGAAATTTCTTCCAAGCCAGTCATATAGTTGGAATCTAATCCCTCAAGTCTGTACTCTCAAAGCTTAGAAGAAGTACGTGAGCTTTCCAAAGAGTATATGGCTCAAGTCTGGCATTCGCACAACCATCATTGAATTGTAATTACACATTAAACAGTGAGGATAGAACATACGTGCTCTTCATCACTTACTCATTTTCCTACAGCAGACAACATATCACAACAATTTGAGAAAATATGTCATGGGCATATGCCTCCCTTCTTTAAGGTTTGGAGATGTAGTATGTATAATTTTGGTTCGATATTGAGAAGAAAAACTTATTTCAAGAGCTTCACATACCTCTCTAGATGTGGCTAGCCCTACAATAGTGACCAAGATTGATTCACTAAGAGAGGATAAGAGCCATGAGAAGAAAAGTTGCTATTGTCTTTTTCAGCTCACAAATTGGGGATTTGGTAACTTTTTTGCCAGATTCAGAGCTAAGAAATTGATCTGTCACTTTTCAGATACATCAGTGAAAGATTCTATACCATAACCACATATTGTGGCCAAAACTTGTTTCCAAACTAAATAGTTGTTTACTGGAAGCTTTACGGTGATTAATTGACTATGATGTTGAACAACAAATTGTGAGATTAAAGAAGCATTTATGGTGGATTTGTAGTATCCATGTTGCATAAGAAAAGAAGACAAAAAAATAAAACGTGGTCAAGAAAATAAGAATAATGAAAAACAGGTTATAGATTTTAATGTTGAGCTCTTGATACCATGTTGATTTTCACTGAAAATCATGGTGAATGTTTCAGACCAATGCGGTGCAAATTGTTCATTCAATGAGGATAAGGTTTCGAGTACAAAGATAGTTGTATATAGTTGTGACAAGTGTAGCCTTAGGATGTATCTAGAAACAAGACACCTAATCATAGATGACAAAAACAAAAGATAATAACAAAAAAAAAAGGAAAAGAAATAATTCATCTAGCTTGCATGACAGTGCATGAGCCACCCTCCATTGTTGTCTTGTTGCTCCATGAGCCAATGATATATGTATGATGCTGACGTGTAAAGGTGTTGAGGTGTATGCTGAGGTGTACTGACCATGATATTCATCAAGCCCATAATTTTTATCCCGTGTACTTACCATGATATTCATCAAGACCATAATTGTCACCCCGTGCAGATAGTGAACCAATTTTTCACCATACTACAACTTAAAAAAGTAATCAGTTTTTGTAATTTAGCCACACAAACAAATATTACAAAAATAATATTCAATTTAAAACAAATATTTATTTTATGGAAAGCACAAAATGTTACATCCTCATGACTAGAAAAACAACAACTAATCAATTCATTACATTCTCTTTTATCAAATCCATTGTCACATGGATAGATACACATAGCAACATGAGAAGCAAATCATTCCCTCATTAATAAACAAAAAAAAACAAAATCTTTTTGTAATAAATGATAATTAAATATTTATAAATTGTGAGAGAAATTGAAAAAAAAAAGCATATTTATTGTGATTCGACGACGACACCCATGTTGAAGAGGACGGGCCCACATTGTGGGAGGGCAGTCTTTGTCTGGAACCCGATAGCGTTGGCAATCCTCACAGTCGAGTGCATGCCGTCGTTGTTAGATAAAACAACCCTCGACTTCTCGCCCAACGGCTCGTTGCATTTGCTGCTTGGGCTATTGACAACCGAGACCTCACAGATCTCGTCCCCGTGGTCCCCGACCACCGGGAGGTTGTAATGCCCATTGGGGCCCGTGACCCCTTCCAACGAGTAGATCACAGTCTTGGTGTCAGCGTGCCTGCACTCCAGGCGCACGGTGGCACCTGCATGACACATGCAACTGACACGTATTACGAAGGAAATATATATTTGTTATATAAAATAATGACCAATATAATCTATATATAACATTTAAAATAACGCAACATATCAACGTGTGGGTGACATGTACATCATTTTCATTATGCATAACATCGCGCACGAACTGTGTACAAATAGCTGAAATTTGTCAGATTCACGTACTTTGAAGCAAATATATAATATTCATAAAATGATGACCAATATAATCTAGATATAATAGTTAAAATAACACAACATATCACCGTGTGACTGACATGTACATCATTATCATTATGCATAACATCGCGCACAAACTGTATATAAATAGCTAAAATTTGTTAGATTCATGTATTACGAAGAAAATATACATTTTTATAGAATAATGACCAATATAATATAGATATAATACTCAAAATAACACAACATGTCACCGTAGGTGATATGTACATCATTATCATTATGCATGACATCGCGCGTGAACTGTGTAGAAATAGCTAAAATTTATCAGATGTTAAGTTGCGTTTGCAATCTCGATATAAGTTTAGATAGATAATTATTACCAACGAGTTTGTGTGAGAGCTCGGTTTCGAATTGGACACGACAAGGGTCGCAATAGACGTCGCCCTCGACATTGAATAAGGAGAGGTTGTTGTGGGCGTTGGCGATGGCGGCAACAGCCAAGATGCAGAGGGTGGATGCGAGAGCTACAACCTTGGCCATTGTTTAATTTTTTTCTTTATTCTTTTGTTTTTTTTATTGTTGTTCCTCTCTTTTTTTTCTCTTGTTATGTGTATGATTTTGAGATGGTATGTGGTTAGGGCTGTTTATAAAAGGATGAATTGTTAGGGGGGAAAAGGAGATGGTGAAACAATTTTTTTGCAATAATTTTCGGGCAATTCCTCTTTTCACTTTGTTGATTATTTTTATACCTTACAAGTTCTTTTTATAGGGGCCATCTTTGAATTTAGTGGTGAATCATGAATGCTTGGTCTTTTCCTTATATTTTCTAATTCTTTAGTTT